CAATAATGTCTCCCTTAACTGCAGTTTCACTTTCTATGGTTTTAGTTACCCATCGTCAACCATGGTCCAAAATATTAAATGGAAAATTCCAGAAATAAACAATTCATGTTTTAAATTGCTGGTTGTCCTGGAGTAGTGTGATAAAATGTTGCACCATCCCATCTGGGACATGAACCATCCCCTGATCCAGCGTATCCATGCTGTATATGCTGCCCGTTCATTGGTAAGTTAGTAGTCATCTCAGTTATCAGACCAATTGTCATGGTATTGTAATGTTTATGTTCAAGTAACCCTTATTTTAATTAATGATGGCCCCAAAGCACAAGAGCAGTGATGGCAATTTGGACACGCCAGAGAGAAGCCTTAAAGCGCTTACTTTAAGTGAAAGGTAAGTACAGTACAATAAGATATTTTGTGAGAGTCACCACATTCACATAACTTTTATTACAGTATCTTATTATAATTATTCCATTTTAGTATTAGTTATTGTTAATTGCTTACTGTGCCTAATTTATAAATTAAAGTTTATCATAGGTATAGATGTATAGGAAAAAAAAGTTGTGTTCAGTACTATCCAAGGTTTCAGGCATCTGCTCGGGTTCTTGAAACATATCTCCCATGGAAAATGGGGAACTACTGTACCTATTAACAGAATGAAGTAAAAAAAAAACACATGAACATCAAATCATTGCAGATAAAAATTGACAAAATTCAACATACTCCGATGATAAAAACACTCAAGAAACAAAGAACAGAGGAAAAGTACCTCAATATATAAAGGTCAAAAAAGAAAAAATCCACAGCTAACATCATATGCAATGGAAAACACTGAAAATTTTTCCTTTAAGATCAGAAATAAAACAAGGATGTCCACTTTCACCAGTTGCATTTAATATAGTACTGGAAGTCCTAGCCAGAGCATTCAGGCAGGAAAAAGAATTAAAAGACATGCAAATTAAAAAGAAAGAATTAAAATTACCTCTGTTCATAGAGAACATGATCTTACATGTAAAAAGCCTTACAAATTACACACACACACACACACGCACACACACACCTTTTAGAATAGACAAATTTAACAAAATTACAAGATACAAAACTAACACACAAACATCATTTATGTTTCTACACATTAACAATGAGGAATCCACAAAGGAAATTAAGAAAACAATTCCATTTACAATAGTTTTAAAAGGAATAAAATAGAGAATCAACTTAACTAAGGAGGTGAAAGATTTGCACACTGAAACGTACAATGTGCTGCTGAAAGAAATTAAAGATGACACGAATAAATGGAAAGACATCTTGTGTTCATGGACTGGAAGATTTAATATAGTTAAGCTACTACTCAAAGTAATCTATAAATTCAGTGCAATTACTATCAAAATGCCAATGACATTTTTGCAGAAATAGAAAAATCTATCATAAAATTCATATGGAATTTCAAGGCACCCCAAGGAGCCAAAATAATTTTGAAAAAGAAAAAAAAACTGTAGTTCCCATACCTCCTCATTTCAAAACTTACTACAAAGCTATGGTAATGAAAAGTATGGTTCTGATGTAAAGACAGATGTATAGATTAATGAAAGAGTAAGAACCCAGAAATAAACTCCTGTATTTATGGTCAAATGATTTTCAACAGGGGGATCAAGATAATTAAGTGGCAGAAAAGTTAAGTCTTTTCAACAAACAGTGCTGGGAAAATTAGATTACACATGCAAAAATGTGAAGCTGGGCTCTTACTTTATACCATATACAAAATTTAATCCCAAACAGATCAAAGGCCTAACCATAAGAGCTAAAATTATAAAACTCTTAGAAGAAATCATAGGGAAAAAGCTTCGTGATATTGAATTTTGCAATGATTTCTTGGATATGACACTAAAAGCACATGCGATACAAGAAAAAATAAATAATCTGGTCTTCATCAAAACTAGAAACATTTGTGTATCAAAGGACAGTTCGACAAAGTAAGAAGAAAACCCACAAAATGGGAGAAAATATTTGCACATGAAATGTCTGATAAGAGATTGATATTAAGAATATATAAATTCTACGACTCAACAACAAAAAACAAGCAACCCACTTAAGAAATGAGCAAAAGACTTGAAGAGACATTTCTTCAAAGAAAATATACAAATGGCAATAAGAACAGGAAGAGATGCTCAAAGAAATGCAAATCAAAACCACAATGAGATATGAGTTTACATCCATTAGGATGGCTATTATAAAAAAAGAAAGAATAAAACAAGTGTTGGTCTGAATGTGGAGAAAGTGGAACCCTTGTGCACTGAATTTAAAAATGTAGAAAGGTACAACTGCTGTGGAAAACAGTATGGTGGTTCCTGAAAAAAATTAAAAATAACATTATATGACAGCAATTCTACCTCTGGGTATATACCCAAAACAATTGAAAGCAGGATCTCAAAGAGATATCTGCACACCTGTGTTCATAGCAAAACTATTCACAACAGCTAAAACGTGAAAGCAACCCAAGTGTCGAGCAAAAGATAAATAGATAAGCAAAATGTGGTATCTACATATATGAAATATTAGTCAACCTTAATAAGGAAAAAAATTGTGACACACACAACATGGATGAACTTTATAGACATCATGTGAAGTGAAATAAGCCAGTCACAAAAGGACAAATATTGTATGATTTCACTTACATGAGATAGGTAATCAAATTCTAGAGACAGAAAGTAGAATGGTAGTTTTCAGAGGCATGGGGAGGGGAGAATTTGGAGTTATTGTTTAATGGGCACAGAGTTTCAGCTGAAGAAGATGATATGGTTCTGTAGATGAATGGTTGCGATGGTTACACAATAATATGAATGTATTTAATGTTCAGTTAAAAATTGTTAAAATGTCATTTTGTTATATATACATATATATAGTGTGTGTGTATATATATATATATATATATATTACTACAAAAAATAACACAAGAGTAATATATAGAACTGAGGAATATTTTCAGATTGAGAAGCTACAATAAATTAAAGGGAAAGAAAATCCACCCTAGAAAACAAATATCTATGAGACAAATCACTGTGAAATTGCACAACACCTGCTATAAAGAGAAAATGCTAAAAGTTTCCAGTCAGAACGGTAAAACAATAAACAGACGTTCATATACATCAAACTAAGCACTAAAAGGCAATGGACTTCTCAAAGCTAATGCTGGAAGCTAGAAGACAATAAAGCAATTCTGAAAAAAAATTCTGAAAGAAGTGTCAGCATAAAGACATGTTTAGGCTTTCAAAGTTTTAAAAACTTTACCTCCCATGTATAACTACTCAATAAACTAATGAAGACACTGCATTAAATAAGAAAATAAACCAAAAAAGAACAAGATACAGAATCCTGGAAATGAGAGTTCCAATGCAGCATAGAGACAAGTAAATTCTGGGGATCACAGCTGAAGAAATTATAGCTGTTAAGAGAAGATTTAGAGAGCAAGCAATCCTGAGTAAATCAGCGAAATGGAGTGCTCAAGCAGTAATACTTTGACAAAAAATGCATATGTATATATGTGCTTGGGGATAGTGGTTTGATGGTGTAAGATTTTCAAGCAAGTTTTCAAAATAATAGTATGAGAAAACAAATATATTCCTAATATATTGTGTATCTCAGCTGTAATGTTTTCATAGTCATAATTAAAACATTAAATATTAGTTAACCTCCAAATAGTGATAATATAATTCCATTGGGATATTAGAGGAGGGGATAAGTATGTATGTATATTAGGGAAGATTTATAAAAAAATTAAATCTCCATCTTTCACTGTGGAAATTTGTAGATAATATCTAAAACTGCAAATTAATTTTAGCAAAATAAACATGTTATTTGGAAATATAAAAGTACACAACATAAGAGTCAGCTAAAATTATTAAATAATATCACCTTGGAGTAGAGGAAGAATAAGTTGGGGTATGGAGCACGGCACTACTATTTTTCCTTCATTTCATTTTGGTTTATAAGCCTATGGGTTGAATAGCTGGATAAAAATAAAATTATTTTAAAATAAAAGATGCAGAGCTTTATGAAGTATGTAAGTTCATGAAACTAATGGAGAACTGATGAAATAACAAACAAAGCCCCTGACATGTGAGAATCTGGCAGAGTTAGACCAGTTTATAAACAAAGAGAAAATCAACAAGAGTCAAGACACCACCATGAGTTTTTAAAAGAGAAAGAATTAAATATTTAAAAATTAAGAGGCTAGAGGAAGGAGAAATAGAGTTGCTGTTCAATGAGTATAAAGTTTCATTTACACAAGATGGAAAAGTTCTGGAGATGTGCTGTACAACATGGTTCCTGTAGTTAACGATACTGGAGTGTGGACTTAACAATTTGTTAAGAGGGTATGTCTCATGTTAAATGTTCTTATCACAATAATTTTTAAAAGGCTTAAGAGAAAGGATTGATACAATTTACAAAACCTTCAAATGATTTTACAAAAATGATTTTATGATTCTTCTGTGAAAGACAGAGATAAAGAAAAAGTCATCTGATTATGACATAACTTCATCAAAAAAAGTTCTGCAAAAATAAAATAGAAACAAGTACACATTTGATAACCAAAATTTTATCAACAATAAGATAAAGCTTATTTTTATGTAACAAAATAATTATGTTCAAAGCCTAAAGAAAATTTAATATCATTATTTAATTGAAATAATTCAAACCTATACTAGACAGATTCCTGAAAAAGGTACCATGCTGACATAGCTATACAGTAACAAAACTGCTAACCCATATTTCTCCTATTACAAACTTTTAATCAACATCAGGTCCTTGACATCATGAAACAACTTTCTGAATATATATATTTATAAAATGCTGAATGAGATATGGATATTTTATCTAGAATGCTCAACATGTATTTCATGGAGTCATATTTATAGTTCAAAATTAACATGGCCAATTTCTACTGGATTTAATTATTCTTCATCAAAATTTATTCATTAAATGTAAAAATTCATATAACTAACCTTTTTGAATCAGATGTCTTGATTTTTTTGATTTCATGCCAATATTTTTTGTTTTTAATTTGTATAAAATAGAGGAAACATATTTTCTCTGTTCACTAGAATTTTCTAAATCAACGGGAGAATGTAGATTCTGTGGAAACAAAATAAAAGCAATGGCACCAATGATAACATCTCTTATATATGTTTCAGAGTTTTCAAAGAATTCTCACATGTGTTATACATCATGATGGATTTTCATTTTAAAAATGAAAACCTGTGAGATGGGCAGAGTTAGGAAAAGATGAAAAGAGCTCCACTGTGTGTGACTCTGATAAATTGTTTTTCTATTAAGAGCTAATGATATATTTTGGACAATGTTCTAAGAGATGTTAAGTGAAACGGGTACCTGTCAGAGGGGGGCCATGACTAAAGGAACGAGGGGAAAGGAGAAATGAAGAATAAACAATAAGAAGTGTTTAGTGTTACCCAGAAAGGCTGAAAGAAGATTCAGAGTAAGAAAGAAGGGACAAATTATTTCACAGAACACTAAAAGGCACAAAGGAACAGCAAAATGAGACTAGAATTATCTCAAGTTTTACAAATGGATCAGATATGTGTGAAAATAAAAAGTACAATATTGAAAGAAGCTTCATGGAGAATGGAGGCACTGTAAAATGTAAAGTGGTTGGGAATATTTTAAAAATTAATACCGTGTTATATCTCTTTCTCTTCAAAGTCCATCCAGGACTGGTACAGAGGATCTACCAGGTCATTAGGAACTCAGGCTCCTACAATTTATCATCTCTCTCTTACTGCATTTACATGACTTCCATACTCAAGATTTACTCATGGGTCAAGATAGCTACTAGAGCTCCAAACACCATGTGTGTATTATAGTCAGCAAGATGGAGGAAAAGGTAAAATGAGAAAAGGGGCACAGGTCATGTGTCTTAAGAAACTTTCCCAGAGGTCCTTCCAATAACTTCTATTTATATCTCGTTGGCCACCCAAGTGTAAGAAATACAGCCTTTTGTGCTAGGTACTTTGATGCCTGGAGTAAAATTGGGGGTCTGTTAGCAAGAAAGAAGAAAAAGACAGATATTAGTAGACAATCAAAAGTGTGCCACAGGAAAAAAATCAGAATCTTGCGGGGAGAATATGTTTGATATATAATTTGAAAAACTTTCCCAGGATAATATTAAGCTTTCCTCAGTGAGAACCCCTGGTCTAAATTCTTAACACTCACTCAATGCAGTATACATATGACATATGATTGAATTGTACATTTGAGACCTATATAATTTTATTAACTAATGACACCTCCAATAAATTTAATAAATAAATCAATAAAATAGCCAATTCAACAGAAAAAAAATAAACTAAAATAAATTCCTAAGACTCACAATTATATACATCTTCAGATAGATCTTTCTGAGATGTTTGTTTTTATATATTTGTTTATGGAATACTTGTATAGTGCTTATCATTTGCAATTGTTTTGAAGCTCTTTACAGATATTAATTTATGTAATACTCATAACAACCATGCTCTTTCACCCTGGAAAATCCCACAAACATCTCATATCTAAGAGAACTGAAGTCGTATCTTTCCAAACCTATTAATATTTACTTCTAGTTTTGGTGAATTCAAGGAAAGAAAATTTACATAAACTCTCTAATACATGATAACTGATAGAATTTTGTAGAGAATTCATCATCATATTTCCCTTACTTTGGACTGTCTACTTATGCAAATCTCCTTTACGCAACAATTTAGCAGAGACACTTGGATATGTGTCTTGCTCCCTCGCATTAGTAGTTTTCTGCACAAATTTCTATGCCACACAATAAAGATATATTTAATTAAATAATCTTGAGTTTCTTTTAAATTTTATAACTGTCAATCTCTAAGTTAGTTATTGAAAACAATTTGTCTTGTTTTTATGCAGTAATTCATTTCACAATAAATTTTTAATGCTTATGACAAGTACTAACTGGTCCTGGAATAAATCTGTTAAATACTATTTTTTGTTAGAAAAACCAATAAGCAGGAATTTTTGAGCTCATATATTCTTTATAGTTAGAAAATTTCTTAAAGTTGCCAAGAATAATTATAATACACAGTATCAACGCATTATAAAAATATGACTTTAAGTAATGTTGCTTTATTTTCATCTGGGTTCAATTCTTTCTATTAAACAAAATATGACAAAAAATGTAGACAACTGTTTTTCAACAAAATCTGTAAAAATCAATTTCAAATGCTTTTTCAACCTCAAATTTGCCCATCAGTCCTCTTCAAATTGCATCATCTTAACACTTCAAGTTACATCATCATTCTTGTATCTTCTCACTTCTATGAATTTTGCTCTATTTTGGTAATCTGTCTCTTCCTTCTAACAGTGTAATTCATCATATGTTAAAAATCACCTCAAATTCTATTTCAATCACAGAAATGAATCCTTTCTTTCTTCTAGATCTCCCATTTGTATTCTACCCATGAAAAAATAATAAAAATGGAATGTAAGAATTTGTTCAACAATTCTGTTCTACTAGTATATATTCTTTTACCTTCCCCTGTTAAAATAAAAAAATAAAAAGTATGTATCTATGGTAAATCTGAGTATCCAATCTATATCATAAATAAATTTATATAATCTTGAAATTTAAAAGTCCCTAAATTAAATAACTAGTTAATTGCTTTCAGAAAAATTTTTAGTTCTCCCACTTATCTTTTATTGTATACCCACATGTCACCATTTAAAATAATTTCTCTTTCCTTAGTCTGTATAAAAGAAGAATTTATAAGAAAGGGCACATATGTAATAGTAAAACAAATCTATAGGAAGATGATCAGAGAATCTAAAGCCCTACATGAACTAAGGTTTATACAAGCTACCAAGGTACAGAAAATGAATATTTCTGTCATATGTATTGCAAAAAGAAAAAGGAAGTATATGCCCACTTTTTGATTGATCTTTTAAATCGTGGAGAAGAAAAAGTTATCAGAAACCTGGGAGTAATTTAATAAATATTTTGTTTTCAATAATAGTAAGTAAATTCTATTAATTAAATTACCTTAAATCTAAAACCAGTCCTCAATAATTTTAGAAAACATTTTAAGGATGTTTTTTAGCATCTAGAAAAGGAATAATCACCATTGAGCAGTATAAGTTGACAACAAACTAATTACATCAGACATAACTTCATTTTTAACAGGGTCAAAATTAATTCAGGTTCAAATATCCTTGATATGATAAACCTGCATTTCAGCAATATTTGATAAATGCTTTTTTTATGAAAAGACATTATGATTAGGTGAAGATCAGAGATGTTGAGTCATCACATGTTAAAGAGTTAGGATTAATAAAATGATGACAATCTGAAGGGAGCTCTCTAATAACATGTCGACCTGTTCCTAGCCCTACCCTGATCAATATTTATATGAGTGATTTGAATAAAAATATAAAGGAAATGCTTATCGAGTTTTCACATGAGGTAGTAAAATAACAACATCAGTTAATGCCAGACAGAAATTTAAAATATTATCAATACTGGAGCAATGAGTCAAATTAAACAGACGAAGTTTAATAGGAATAAATATTGCAGTTGGGCAAATTCATTTTATCACTGCAATACACAATGTAATTCAAAAACCTGAGTGATAAGAGACTAAAATATTTAAGAGTAAATTAAGTAATTCATTGTGTGATGACCTTATTCTATGTTGTATAAAACTTTTAATCTAGAAAGTGGAAAATGACAGTCTTACCATATTCATTTCTGATCAGAAACATAGCTGAAGCACTATATCAGGTCAGGGCAACATATTTTCAGATGATTATCAATAATCTGGAACATGAAAAGAAAGAAGCCTACCTACTGAACTATTTTTAAAGTAAGCCTTATATAAATAAACCATGATTAAATTCAGAACAGAAAAGAAGTAATAGAGAGAGTCAGGCTTCTCACCTCCAATTTCCATCTTCCTCATCTTGTAAAATGATACCATTCTCTTGTTCAAGCTGTAAAAACTTAGAATATGTTCTCTATTTTATCTTTTTTTCCTGAAACCTTCTATCTAATCCATCAACAAATCTTCGTAATTCTATCCCTAAATGTATTCAAAATCTCTTCATTTCTATTTTCACTTTACTTTTCTAGTCTAAGCTAATTCATCCCTTCCAACAATAAATAGCCTCCTATTGAATTCTGCCTTCCCCCTGGCTCTCGTAAGACATTTATATTTGTCAAAAGGTAAATCTGATCATGTTTCTCTTTAGCTTTAAATGCCCTATTGACTGTCCAAGATGTTCAGTCGTTATTATGAGCTACAAAGACAGCAAAATATGGACCTTGACCACACAGACAAACTCATCTCATGCTACTCGACTTTACTCATTTTACTCCTGCCACAGTGGCTATCTCATCCAATTCCTTGAACCCAAGTCAAATAAAATAAGCTATTGCATGTGTCATGTCCTTATGCAAGCTATTCCCTCTGCCTACTACACTCTCCTTCCTATATTTTGCATAACTAGCTTCTTATTCTTCAGGTTTTAACTTTATTATTGCTTCAGAAAAACATTCTGTGACAATGTTATGGAGAAATAGGTTCCTCCTATTATTCTCTATCTCAGCACCAGATTTATTTCATTCATAACATTTACACAGTTTTGTTTGTTTACCTGGGTTGCAATGTGTTTTTTGTTTTATTTTGTTATTATTTTTTAATCTAGTCTAGGAGGGCAAGGACTTTGCTTGCCTTGTTCACTCAGTACCAAGAATGGCCCCTGACACTCAGCAGATAATTAATAATTATTTGTTAAATGTTGAACAAATAGTACCAAAGAAAAGGAACAGAAGGATTAAGTGGAAGTTTAGGAACTTTGATTCAATATAATATAAAATGAAAGTTCTGGAGAGAGCCCAACAATCGGACATAATTTTAAAAGAAAATCTCTAGCTTCTGTTTTTTAAAAACTTTATTCTGAGTAACATCTTTCTACATTCCCTTCTTTTACTCTTGAAATCTTCCATACGCTATAGTTACTCCAAAGCTTATCACTCAGCAACTCTTTACAACTCTCCCTTTCCCTTCTTCTAAGCTCTTTATTATGTACATCAACTTAGAATCTCTGAATTTTTTAGC